AAAAAAAAAAAAAAAAAAAAAAAAATAGCATGGCTTGAAAAAAATTTTTAGACCTCTATATCTTCCCCAATCCTGTAGACTACATGTTAACTTTGTGGAGAAGTAAAACAGAGGGTCTCTGATTGGGATACCAGGCACAGCTTGGAAGCAGACACTGAAGCAAACGGGACACTAAATGAACATACGCATGCTGAATGCAGAGACCCTTGCCGTCTTCTCACACGTCTTCCAAAACCCTGGCATCCTGTCTTTATCCTTCATGTAAGAGGTTGAATGTCTTCTCTGTAAAACCGAACCAGCCCAAGTTAAGACCTTGACTTAAGAAATTTTCTTAGAAATGAGAAATCAGTTCCACTTATAGGGAAGTGCAGAAATGACAAGTCCTCCCATGTCTTCAGAGCTTCCATTAACTTTTGAGTCTCACACCTTTAAATATGGATAGACTATAGACTACCAAGGTTTACCAGACATCTATCGAAAGCTTCTAACATAAGAGATAGAGGCCGAAATAGCCCCTCCTTCCTTCCAAAAAAGCAACGTGGAAAAGACAGATATTATGTAGAAGAGAATCAGAGAATAAACAAAAATGAAAATTCCGATCAGCAAAATCAAAGATATGAGATGATATGGATCCAGGAAAGAAGGAAATAAGAATAGAATACAGTTTATAGTATGATTTTTTTGCAGAGTCAGGCTCTTGCTATGTTGCCCAGGCTGGTCTTGAACTCCTGGCCTCAAGCAATCTTTCCACTCTGGCCCCTGACAAGTGCTAGGATTACAAGCCTAAGCCACTGTGCCCAGCCTATCTGGTGTCATCATAGCTCACTATAGTCTTGAACTCCTGAGCTCAAGTGATCCTTCTGCCTCAGCCTTTACAATAGCTGAGACTCCATGCACATGCCACCATGCCTGGCTTATTTATTAATTTTAATAAGGAAGATGCAGAGAAAAAATAAAAGAGCTCTTGGAAATTAGAAAGATAGTAACAAAAGTGAAAAACCCTATTTATTAGAAATAAAGGATATTTTTCCAGACTGAAATGGCCCACTGAATGCCCAACACAATGGATGAATATAAACCTAGGACAGGCACATTTGGCAAAAAGAGAACTTTACAAACTTCCACAGGGAAAAACCAGGGCACATACAAAGAATCAGTAATCAAAGTAGCTTATGACTTCTTTTTTTTTAACCCCTTAGACAGGGTCTTGCTCTGTTACCCAGGTTGGAGTGCAGTAGCATGATCTCAGCTCAGTGCAACCTCTGTCTCCCAGGCTCAAGTGATCCTCCTATCTCAGCCTTCTTAGGTAGCTGGGACCACAGGTGTGTGCCACTACCCCCAGCTAATTTTTTGTAGTTTTGGTAGGGATGGGGTTTTACCATGTTGCCCAGGCTGGTCTTGAACACCTGAGCTCAAAGCGATACACCCACCTTGGCCTCCCCAAGTGTTGGGATTACAGGCATGAGCCACCACACCCGGCTACTTATAACTTCTTAACAGCAATTCTGGAAGCTAGAAGACAATGGAAGATTTCCTTTGATGTTCTGTAGGAAAGTTATTTCTAAGCAAATGACCTATCCTCAGCCTAATTATCAATCAATGTGTGAGAAAATAAATGACATTTTCAGACAAACAAGATCTCAAAAACTTTACTTCCCATATACCTTAGAAAGCTACTAGGAATGGACTCCTTAAATGAAAGTATGAGCCATGAAAGAGAAAGAACAAATATACAAGTCATCCAACCTTGAAAAGCATTAAAGGGGATGATCAAATTTACAATGAAGACTGGAAAAGAGGACGACTGATCCAGAATGAAGGAGATCAAAATGTTCTACCTCAGATTTTTGAGAAGAAGAAATTGGTAAGACAACCCAGTGTGAATAAATATCTTGAGGGGAGACTGAAACCAAGTGAGGCAAGAGAATAGGGTCTGGAGGCAGGAAACCCAAGGCCAATTCATGTTGAATTTCTAGAACTAAATCAAAAGGAAAACCCCAACTTTCTATGCCCAAGCAACCAAAGGACTAGACGCTACTCCCTTTGCAACCCACCCCGCTCCCTGCCTTTTCTGTCTGGCAGATGAAAAATTCAAAGTACTTCTGATTGGTTCCCTCCTACAACCAATCAGGTTGGTCATGGGCCAAGTCTTCACTTGCATATGTGGGAGTATAACTTTGTAACTTCACTTCAGCTTCTGACTGGTCCCCTCCCACAACTAATCAAACTGATCGTGGGCTATTACTTCATTTACATAGGGCGTACACCAAGTAACCAATGGGAAACCTCTAGAGGGTATTTAAACCCCAGAAAATTCTGTAACTAGGCTTTTGGGTCACTTGCTTGGGCCTACTCCCATCCTGTGGAGTGTGCTTTCAATTTCAATAGATCTCTGCTTTTGTTGCTTCATTCTTTCCTTGCTTTGTTTGTATGTTTTGTCCAATTCTTTGCTCAGCATGCCAAGAACCTGGAAACCCTCCACCGGTAACACAACTAGGAGAGAATTTGGGGTTGAATTCTGATATGTGCAAGGAAAGCCAGAAAGTTAAAAATAGGACAATTATTAACCTTAGGGAAAACAAAAAGACATGAATGAAAGGAAAAGCAATCACGGTTTAGTACTTAGCTAAATTCTGATTAGCATAAAAAGTCATAGCAACAGAAACATTGAACACTGATATAAAAAATTATAATAATTATATTAAAGATATAGGGGCTGGGAAATATGTGTGTGATAGGGAATGTGGGGAGGAAAAAGAGTGAACTCCTTATCTTTCACATGGCAAGTCAACAGATAATGGCTAACATTGAAAAAATCAAGAAGTAGCATTGTAAGCATGTTATTTTGCCATGTAGAGGTAAATATAAAAAAACCAATTAAAGAGAAAGGGAAATGCAGGTGAGGGGACCTGGAGACAAGTATATTTCTGAAGTCTTGTAGACACTAGTCTACTCTTTGTATGCATAGTTCAAAATGAAAGAAAGAAAAGAAAATCCCTTAAGGGGGGTTATATGGAGTCTGACTGACCATCTCTCTCTCTTTTAAAAAATTCCTTTTTAAGGTATAATTTACATACAATAAATTGCCAAAGTTTTGTTTGATGAATTTAGATAAATATATGAATACATCCTTGTAATCACCACCTCAGTCTAATATCCATTTCTTTTTTTTTTTTTTTTTGAGATGGAGTTTCACTCATGTTACCCAGGCTGGAGTGCAATGGCGTGATCTCGGCTCACCGCAACCTCCGCCTCCTGGGTTCAGGCAATTCTCCTGCCTCAGCCTCCTGAGTAGCTGGGATTACAGGCACGCGCCACCATGCCCAGCTAATTTTTTGTACTTTTAGTAGAGACTGGGTTTCACCATGTTGATCAGGATGGTCTCGATCTCTTGACCTCGTGATCCACCCGCCTCGGCCTCCCAAAGTGCTGGGATTACAGGCTTGAGCCACCGCGCCCGGCTAATATCCATTTCTTAATGAATCAAAGATAGCTCATTTTCCTGCCAACTGAAACAAATGATTTTTTTTTTCATTGAGTAAGCACAAAACAGAGGACCTGGCTTAGATTTAGAGGTCACAAATACCCCTCAAAAATGCCTATCTTTGTTTCTGTCATTGTTTTGTTTTTGAGACAGTCTTGCTCTGTTGCCCAGGCTAGAGTGCAGTGGTGCAGTCCTAGCTCACCGTAACCTCTGCCTACTAGATTCAAACGATTCTCATGCCTCAGCCTCCTGAGTAGCTGGGATTATAGAAGTGCACCACCATGCCTGGCTATTTTTGTATTTTTAGGAGAGATGGGGTTTTGAGGCCAGGCTGGTCTCAAACTTCTGGTCCCATGTGATCTGCCCACCCTGGCCTCCCGAAGTGCTGGGATTACAGGCCTCAGCCACCATGGC